TTTCTCCTACAGCATGCGCTTGGACTAGCAGAAACAGGCAAGAAAAGGAAAAAAAAATGTTCAGTCCTTATTTGTTCTTAGTTCTCCAGATTTTCAGACATCGATGTTCCCAGGTTTAACTGCAGGCATCCAATATGAATTTGAAAATTTTGCATACAAACCACGACCTCTGACATGCTATGGAGATGTAGGTTCCCATCATACAAAAGATGACTACATTTACAAGGAGACCCTTGTAACAGTTATAGGTCTCCTTCAAGAAGAGCCCATTGTAAAATTTTGCATTATGTACAACTCTGCATCTTATACTTTTTCTCTCTCTTTCTTATTTAAGTCCACTGATACCCAGCCCTAAGTTGCGTAAAAAATAGGTTTGATTTCAGAACTCTAGATACCATATAACGTTAAGTGGTACATTACCATCAAGTGAGATCCAGACAAGGACGATGTTACAGGGCTTCCCAAAGGCACAAATTGTCTACAAATGCTATGTTTCTTTGAGGGGTTGTCACAGAACACCAAGTTTATATTACCCTATTAAAAAAAACCTGGGAATGAAATGCCTGCTTTTTTTTTTTGCTTCTCAAAACAAGGAAGAGCACAGGGCATTAATCAAAGTTAGCGTACAGAGTCGGATTGAAGGTTTCCCTGTGGTAAATCTGCCATTTGAAGCTAGCAATTTGCTAACATGCTCTATAAAAGTTCTCTCCAGTGGCAATCTTGTCTTCCCAAAAGATTACAGGAGACAAGATGCACCCAGTTCTCCTGCACCAATTCTTCAGAGGTTTCACCACACGGGTTTAAGCCAACTCACCACGGCCAACTTGCCACAAGACAAATTTGCCATGGTCAACGGACCACGGGACAACTGGCCGCAGGACAAAAGTTACACAATAATATCGAAGAAAGGATGAAACAGGATCATTAAATAAAGCAGGGGTAGTCAACCTTGGCTCTTTTATGACTCGTGGACTTCAATTCCCAGAATTCCTGAGCCAGCTTAGCTGGCTCAGGAATTCTGGGAGTTGAAGTCCACGAGTCATAAAAGAGCCCAGGTTGACTACCCCTGAAAAATAAAGGATGCAAAAGGGCAAAACGAAACGTGAATGACCCAAATTAAAAAAAAAAATTTTTTTTAATGATTTTAAATCATTAAATAAAATGGTTGGATTATCCCGCCGCAAGTTGGCCCTGGCGACTTGTCCCATTCCATCACTACGCCCGCCCACTTCACTTCTGAGCGCAACTCAAGTTGCTTGCATTCGTCTAGGTTCCTTAAGTGCGCACAGTTTAATGAGGAGCAAAGTCAGCAACGAGAATCCAGTGTAAGAAATTAAATCCGTTTATCGTTGTCATTTAGTCCAGAAGTGTGCATTTTACTTTCAGCAGAGTTTAGAACTGCTTTCAGGTCACTTCTCAAAAAAAAAACAAAAACCCCAAAAAACTTGCAAACGATTTAAAGCCAACTCCTTAATAAATACTTTTTCCTTTCAAAAGTACGCCATACAAATTTGTAAAAAAAAGAAAGAAAAGGAACAAAATGTTAACTTAAGTGAACAAAGAGGACGTCTCAAATCCTCTCAATATTCGCTTTTTTTTTTTTTTATACAAAAGGATTTAAGTTTTTGACTATTCACAGATGGCCTGACTTCAACTCAGATGCATCTCTCTTTACATTAACAATCCAAACTGCAAAACTGAAAAGTGTTTTGTTTTTTTTGGGGGGGTGGGGGGAGGTTTTTAGTTCATCAGCTTAAATCCAGTACCAATGCAGACAACGCATTCATGTCCCTCATGTGGGGGTGCTGCGCCAGGATCTCCTCGATCTTCTCCCTCTGCTCCGGAGTTGGGAATATTTTTCTCAAGGCTTCTTTTAAGCGGGTGGTTTCGCTGGCGGATCTTGGAGGTGGGGGGAGGGACGTTGTAGGAAACGGAGGCAAGTTGGGGAGGAGACCCGAAACGGGGTTTGGGAGCAACTGTCCGCTCCCTTCTGGCTGCATCAGGAAAGGCGGTATCCCCAAAGGAAGATGGCTTCCGCTTGCAAGGCTGTGCTGGGTTGGCATAGCTCTGGAGAAGAATGGAACAGCATTCAGTATGAGGGTCTTTGGTTGGCGAACAAACAAGCCACCTTGCCCAAGAAAGATGGCCTACCGTCAGTCATCACAAAGATAGCCAGTGTTTGATCATCTTACTCGTTTTGGTGTCTTTTGAGTCAGTGTTGACTCCTGGCAACTGCCTGGACAGGTCCCTGCAGTTTTCTTGGCAAGAACGCTTGGCCCAAGGTTAACCCAATGGCTTTGAGCCTCAGGAAGGCCGAGACCTCACAGTTTCCGGGTTTCTAGACTGAGAACTTTAGCACTGCACCTAGCTGACTCTAAAGTATTGTTCTTATTGTAGCCTTAATGAACCTTTAGATCCAATTTGTACTTTATCACAATAATAGTTGGAAGGGACCTTGGAGGTCCTTCTAGTCCAGGGGTGTCAAACTCAATTTCGTTTATTTTATTTATTTATTTATTAATTACATTTATATCCCGCCCTTCTCCTTGCGGACTCAGGGCGGCTGACAATTGGATAAAATACTAACATATTATACACCTAATTAAAATTTGATTAAAAAGAAATATTTAAATTTGTCAGATTAAAAGTAATTAAAACCCCTTTAAAATCCCTTAGGCCAGTCCCGCTAGCTGGANTTTCTCCTACAGCATGCGCTTGGACTAGCAGAAACAGGCAAGAAAAGGAAAAAAAAATGTTCAGTCCTTATTTGTTCTTAGTTCTCCAGATTTTCAGACATCGATGTTCCCAGGTTTAACTGCAGGCATCCAATATGAATTTGAAAATTTTGCATACAAACCACGACCTCTGACATGCTATGGAGATGTAGGTTCCCATTCATACAAAAGATGACTACATTTACAAGGAGACTCTTGTAACAGTCATAGGTCTCCTTCAAGAAGAGCCCATTGTAAAATTTTGCATTATGTGCAACTCTGCACCTTATACTTTTTTTCTCTCTCTTTCTTAAGTCCACTGATACCCAGCCCTAAGTTGTGTAAAAAATAGGTTTGATTTCAGAACTCTAGATACCATATAACGTTAAGTGGTACATTACCATCAAGTGAGATCCAGACAAGGACGATGTTACAGGGCTTCCCAAAGGCACAAATTGTCTACAAATGCTATGTTTCTTTGAGGGGTTGTCACAGAACACCAAGTTTATATTACCCTATTAAAAAAAACCTGGGAATGAAATGCCTGCTTTTTTTTTTGCTTCTCAAAACAAGGAAGAGCACAGGGCATTAATCAAAGTTAGCGTACAGAGTCGGATTGAAGGTGGTAAATCTGCCATTTGAAGCTAGCAATTTGCTAACATGCTCTATAAAAGTTCTCTCCAGTGGCAATCTTGTCTTCCCAAAAGATTACAGGAGACAAGATGCACCCAGTTCTCCTGCACCAATTCTTCAGAGGTTTCACCACACGGGTTTAAGCCAACTCATCACGGCCAACTTGCCACAAGACAAATTTGCCATGGTCAACGCACCACGGGACAACTGGCCGCAGGACAAAAGTTACACAATAATATCGAAGAAAGGATGAAACAGGATCATTAAATAAAGCAGGTGTAGTCAACCTTGGCTCTTTTATGACCCGTGGACTTCAATTCCCAGAATTCCTGAGCCAGCCTAGCTGGCTCAGGAATTCTGGGAGTTGAAGTCCACGAGTCATAAAAGAGCCAAGGTTGACTACCCCTGAAAAATAAAGGATGCAAAAGGGCAAAACGAAACGTGAATGACCCAAATTAATTTTTTTTTAATGATTTTAAATCATTAAATAAAATGGTTGGATTATCCCGCGGCAAGTTGGCCCTGGCGACTTGTCCCATTCCATCACTACGCCCGCCCACTTCACTTCTGAGCGCAACTCAAGTTGCTTGCATTCGTCTAGGTTCCTTAAGTGCGCACAGTTTAATGAGGAGCAAAGTCAGCAACGAGAATCCAGTGTAAGAAATTAAATCCGTTTATCGTTGTCATTTAGTCCAGAAGTGTGCATTTTACTTTCAGCAGAGTTTAGAACTGCTTTCAGGTCACTTCTCCCAAAAAAAACCCAAAAAACTTGCAAACGATTTAAAGCCAACTCCTTAATAAATACTTTCCTTTCAAAAGTACGCCATACAAATTTGTAAAAAAGAAAAAGAAAAGGAACAAAATGTTAACTTAAGTGAACAAAGAGGACGTCTCAAATCCTCTCAATATTCGCTTTTTTTTTTTTTTTTATACAAAAGGATTTAAGTTTTTGACTATTCACAGATGGCCTGACTTCAACTCAGATGCATCTCTCTTTACATTAACAATCCAAACTGCAAAACTGAAAAGTGTTTTTTTTTTGGGGGGTGGGGGAAGGTTTTTAGTTCATCAGCTTAAATCCAGTACCAATGCAGACAATGCATTCATGTCCCTCATGTGGGGGTGCTGCGCCAGGATCTCCTCGATCTTCTCCCTCTGCTCCGGAGTTGGGAATATTTTTCTCAAGGCTTCTTTTAAGCGGGTGGTTTCGCTGGCGGATCTTGGAGGTGGGGGGGGGGACGTTGTAGGAAACGGAGGCAAGTTGGGGAGGAGACCCGAAACGGGGTTTGGGAGCAACTGTCCGCTCCCTTCTGGCTGCATCAGGAAAGGCGGTATCCCCAAAGGAAGATGGCTCCCACTTGCAAGGCTGTGCTGGGTTGGCATAGCTCTGGAGAAGAATGGAACAGCATTCAGTATGAGGGTCTTTGGTTGGCGAACAAACAAGCCACCTTGCCCAAGTAAGATGGCCTACCGTCAGTCATCACAAAGATAGCCAATGTTTGATCATCTTAATCGTTTTGGTGTCTTTTGAGTCAGTGTTGACTCCTGGCAACTGCCTGGACAGGTCCCTGCAGTTTTCTTGGCAAGAACGCTTGGCCCAAGGTTAACCCAATGGCTTTGAGCCTCAGGAAGGCCGAGACCTCACAGTCTCCGGGTTTCTAGACTGAGAACTTTAGCACTGCACCTAGCTGACTCTAAAGTATTGTTCTTATTGTAGCCTTAATGAACCTTTAGATCCAATTGGTACTTTATCAGAATAATAGTTGGAAGGGACCTTGGAGGTCCTTCTAGTCCAGGGGTGTCAAACTCAATTTCGTTGAGGGCTGCATCAGCATTGCGGTTGCCCTCGGGGGGCCGGGTGGGTGCGGTCTACTGGATGGGTGTGGATGGAGTGGGTGTGGCCTACTGGGTGGGCATGGCCAGCTCTACATCGTTCGCGTCAAGGGTGCCTGGGCAAGTGTGGGACAGATCTGAGGGTCTTTGGCAGAAGGGGGTGGGACCAGGGCAAGTGCCAAGGCATGGTCCACTGGCGGAGCCTCACCGTTCCTCTCAGGCCATGCAGGGGTAGGGGGCTTGTGGAGCTAAGACTGAATGCGTTTCAGCATAGATGGCCACCACAAAATTGTACATTGGCTCCCAGCCGGCCTGGGCCAGGGCCAAGGCAGCGGGGGCCGTTCCCTCACTGTTTCCAGGATGGCTTCGCGGGCCACATGAAACTACTTCGCGGGCCGCATCCGGCCTCCGGGCCTTGTGTTTGACATGTCGGTTCTAGTCCAATCAAGCAGAGAGACCCTATATCATTTGAGATAAGCAGCCAAGAAAACTTTAAGAAGTTTTATTATATCCTTGTGACTTTGGTACAATTTATTTTACGGCTTCCGTGTTAAACTTTGACATAACTGCATCCCACATCCATCTGTTGCGTGCTCTACGACATCAAGAGTAATGTCACATTTACAAGGAGTCTACCACATTTCTAAATGCAAGAGACTGCTACTGCTATTGCTACTTGGCTTATCTTAACGGTGTACGTGTGTGTGTGTGTGTGTGTGTGACGCAAACATACCCACCCCTTGTACATTCAGTTATGGGAACAAAAGATAAAACAAATCTGAGAGCAGAGCCACTCCTACTTGTGCTAAGCTGCTCACGTCTTTTCTATATCTCGTGATCTTCTCAGTTCTCTGCAGGACTCTTTTTTTAATTTCTGTTTCCTCTTTTGGTGAGAGAAGAA